ATTTCTTAAACCTGACTTAATTCAACAGCAAATATACTCTAGGTATCTACATTATTTGAAGGACAAAGCTTTGATCAAAACCCCATCAAGGTAGATCAGCAAATCAAAGCAGGAGCATGCCTTAAATCCATGAAATAAAATATGTAGTTTTAAAGCACTTCCAACTTTTGCAGATTCAATGGTGGTGGTATTTGTACTGAGGGGAAGCTTTTGTGGTTGTGCATAAAATAGACAGTGCTGCCATTTTACTTCCAGGCACAAACAACCAGTTGCTTGAAACATTGATATTGAAGTCTTTCAATTAAAAGATGTTTCAACTATATACCCATCAAAGCACTTTGGGAATGGAGTAATATTTCCTTGGCTTTATTTACCTTTATCTATTCTCAGTGGAGATCATTGTAGATTTTAGAAAGAGCTGGCATAGTCATACTCCACTCAGTATCAAGGTGTAGAGGTGGTCAACAGTATTAAGTATGTGGGGGTGTAGATAACTAACAATCTGAATTGGTCTCTCCAGACATCATCCTTAGTGAAGGGTGCAAACCGGTGTCTGCATTTCCTGCATCGGATGAGGAGAGCACATCTTTCTCCTTCTCTTTCTGGTCATTTTTTACAGAGGCACGATTGAGAGCATTTTAAAAAACTGCATCACTATTTGGTTTGGTGGCAGCAGTGCCTCAGATAGAAGATCCATACAGAGAGTGGTAAGGACAGCCAAAAATATTATAAGAAGTTCATTTCCTGTTATTCAGGATACTGCTTATAAGCACTATTTTCTTAAAGCTCAAAGCATTGTTAGACCCCCACACACCCATTTTACACTGTTTCTGCTGCTCCCCTCTGGAAGGAGGTTTTTGAAGTATTTCTAACAGAACTACCAGATTCTGTAACAGCTTTGTTCCCTATGCCATCCATCTGGTAAACTCATAAGTTTCGTTTTTCTCTCCATGTACTTGTATAGGTCTGAACTAGACTGTATTCTTTCTCTGTGTCATATAATATATGTGGATATATGCATATTGATTGATTGATTGATTGATTGATTGATTGATTTTGTCATGTTTATGTAGTGTGCATTGGAGATGGTGACCCTTTAAGACACAACAAAATTTCATTTTAATGAATGCCAATTAGTGTACATTCAAAGTTTTTCTAAGTCTTATTCTAAGTCTAAGTGTCTTGATCACAGTCCATCAAAGGTGTGAACTTTGCTTTTCCTTACTCTATCACACTGTTACACAATTGTGCTTGTTTTACCAAGAGATCTGGGAATTGAACACAGCACTATAGGATCAGCCTAATCAAGGGTACAAGTAAGGTGTTGATGCATGACTGGGAAGGCTCAAGATTCTAGTCCACCTTGAGCCACAGAAAGTCTTGGGATGACTTTTTGCTAACCAAAGCTTTCCTCACATGATTGTTGATGTAGGGATAGAATAAAAAGATAACATTTTTTAAGTTACCTATAAATTCTGGAGAATAGGTAGAATATAAAAATAATCAATTTAATCGGTAAATAATACAGCTATGAACATCTTTATTTTCAAATCCTGAAGAATAGGGACATATTTAAATACTCCAAATCAATTTGATGCCAAAACAATGCTGACAGGTGCTGGCCCAAACATTTACTAATTTAATAGTTGCTAATGACAAAGTTATGAATACCACTTTCTTTGTGACATCCTCTTTTGCTATAGTGTGTCTGTCAATGTGGCCTTATATTTCACTGTGTTAGCCCACTTTCATTTACTAATGAATTAACTAATGTTAAATATTGTCCAGAATCTTCATGCAGCTGAGTCCTGACAATGAAAAGAGCGTCCTTCTCACAAATCATGCCAAACTTACCAACTAACTATGCCAAATTTCCTGTCGTCCCATACATTATAAGTCAAAGTTTCTGGGCAATAGTTTTTCCTAGAAATTAGATTTATCCCATCATTGACTGCTTTTTGGAAGATTAAGGAAAGGGCTTTTCTGGAAGACATTTGGTGGTTGCTTAGATGATGCTCTCTATGTGATGATGCTTTCTAATGAATGTCTTAAATTATTATGTATTATTTATGTGAGCACCCTAATTCAAATTGATTTACTTAGTTAATTCTTGATTTAAGTGCCAGAAACAGTTGATCTTTTGTTCTGAGGGAAAAGCAATGTCTAACATTTATTACAATGTCTCAGTTGGGCACAAGATTAGTTGAGAAATGCCCATGATTGCTATGGGTGACTTGAATTCATAGGTTCCTCTGACTCCCAAGATATAGATCCCAGGCTGGGAATATAGCCCCAGGGCCATGTCTAAGAGCCCAGAAAGGGATTCACTAGGCAGCAGAATATCCACTGTGAGAACCAAATTCTGCAGCCTAATTTTAGATGTGGGCATTCACACCCAGAAAATTCCAGAGAAAGATCTCTGGTCACAGTTAGGATTCTTTTAACAATGAATGCTATGATTTCCTTCCAGTCCTGAAGCCAAAACTCAGAAAGCAGGTAATTTACAAGGGTGACATTGTCGTCCTTTTTCAATTAAGCCTCAGTAATACATGATAGGTCTATTTATCCAATGTGTTTGTTGAGTGGCTATTCTTACTAAGCTGGAGGATATTTGATTTTATAAATATGAATAAGGGAAATTGAAAACATGAGAAGAAAACAACAGTCAGCAAAACCTATGCTAAAATGTGAAATGTTTTAATGAAAAGATTCTTCTAGGCCTTTAAGTTGGAATGGAACTTTTGCTTTTTGGAGTTTCATAACAAAATCCTGTCATATTTTACTGTATACTATAATTATAACTATAACTGTCATAGTTAAACATTAAAATTCACCAGATTATACAAGTATTGTTAACAGACTTGTGTGAATATTCTTAATTCACCTTGATCCCACAAAGGTGATGATGTAACTCAATTTGCTTCAGTGACAAACAGTTTCATATTACTTCATAGCTTCTTAATTGTCCTCTCCAACAGTTTTAAAAGCTGGAATAGTTTTCTTCACAGAAGAAAAATTGTTTTGAGAAGCAACTTCAAATAGACATTTCACTTGAAATTTATACTGAAGCACTTCCTTCAGGATGTTCACAGTTCTAATGATTAATGAATCCAATGAATTAGATCCAAGAATAAAACCTAATATTAATCTAGTCAATGACAATTAAATGTAGTACAAATTACAGCTTCAATATATTGTACATGTATAACATGGGTTTTTTTTCAAATTAAAGATATTGTTTATTTATTGCTGATCAAAGATTATTGTTTGCCAACCTTAAACTTGAGAATAAGGCTGAGTTGTGACATCACATAAAGAAGATACTGGTACCATTTATCATGGACTGAAAGAGCCTGGATCAAATTCCTTTATTTTGATAACCAGAAAATAAATATAGATTATATAGACAGCCACTTTTTCCGTTTTCATGATACAAGATGGCAAGAAAGGAAACTAGAAGAAAATATTGAGGAATAGAAGAAATTATTGAACTTCTACAAAGTGTATTGGAATACTTTCCTGAAGCTGGAATGAAACAATATAAATTTAGTAAATTACTTAGCTTGTGATCAAGTTCATTTAATAATTTTCTTCATGATTTTTAAGATTTTCAACAGATAAAGAGTATACATGAAATAATATAAAGATTAAGACAAAATAAAAAGAATTGAAGTGAGAAAGTTAAAAAGTGTGATAAGAAATACAAATAGAAGAGTATATAAAGTAGCAACTTCTGTTCTTTATAGCAGTTACAAACTAATCTTCTTTCCTCCCCTCATTAAACTACATCATTATTCTCTTTTTCCCATATTCTACCCATTTTAATCAGCAAATCCATATATCACTTCTAGTTTCCAGTCCTTAATTAAAATATTTGTTGTCTTATCCTTGATCAAACAGGTCAATTCAATTTCACCATTTTTATTTAGACATTTTAAGATTGCAATTCAATGCAGTGAAACACAATCCCGGGAATAATTGAGACTTAATAGAATATAAGAATAAATATATATTATCCACTCTGACTTTATTGTTTCACATCCCATTGCACTGTAGCTATGGCATAAAGTAGAGTCAAATGCCTAGCTGGATTTATTTATTGGTTCAATTTATATGCCGCCCTTCTCTGGAGACTCAGGGTGGCTTACAATGCGTTAAGCAATAGCCTTCATACTTTTGTATATATCTGCTTAGATAAGCTTAGTAGGGCTTTCAACACCCCCGCCCCAGCGGTGTTCTTTTTTATACAAAGTCAGCTTATTGCCCCCACAATCCGGGTCCTCATTTTACCTACCTCGAAAGGATGGAAGGCTGAATCAACCTTGAGCCTGGTGAGTTTCGAACTTGCAGTAATTGCAGGCAGCTGGTGTTACTTTAACAGCACTTAGTTTGCTGCACCACCAAGGCTCTTCATTTCATATCAATATACTGAATCTGTACTACCACTGCTGTGAAAAGCATTTAGCAACCCTTCAGGTCACCAGTTTACAAAGCTATAGCAACAATTCAGTCCCTGGATGTTTTCTTCCATGAGTGTATGGCTCCCAGATCCCTTAACAACTTTTGAGAAAGCTTCATCAGCCTCAGTGTGAATGCAAATTCTTTTCTTCATCATCATTTCATTAAATGATATGGCTGGGAAAACAGGGGACTCATCCAAATTACTGCAGAACAAAACTGCAATATCTGGGAAACTGATTCTGTAAATAAGATAAGACCTAGTTTAGACTGCATGCATTTGGAAGAAGAGAAAATGTAATTGCTTCCCCACTACCTGGATAGAGAAGCTCCAGCATATTTCTGGCTGATCCTGATCTTTTATTTTCAAAGGATACGACTAGCAAAGAGCCATGTACCTGGCATTTCTCCTTCAAAGGGGATGGAACAGGAACAGCTGAATGTAGCAGATGTGTGGCTTTACCCCCGCTGTATTTATCCTTTCCCTGCAGAGAACCACATGGCTTTGATTGTATTTATTTATTTTTTATTTTTTTTAACAGAAAGTTGTAATTCCTGCCATCTCAGTTGGAGGGATGCTTTGGAGAAGAAAAGGGAGATCTCACTGGAGGCTCTGCAAACCAGATGGCCTGGCCTGGCAGGTTACAGTTCTGAACCAGGTATGTTCAATCCATAACTTAAAATGATGTGGTCTATATATATAATTGGATTAGATTTGGCAGGATAAAACCTTAGTTGGAATTTATGAAAAAGCAAGTTGGATGCTGTAAAACAGCATGGAAGCAGGGATGCTGTGCTTAAAAAGTGTTATTATAAAAAAATTAATTTAAGATTTCAGAACCGAAAAAGCATATATGACTGCATATAAGGATGGTATTGTAGGATGTGCTGCCTGTGGGAAAGGATTCGTATTAAAAGTTTGTAGTGGTCTTATGCTTGGATCCTGCATTTAGCAATAAGTGATTAATGCTGAAGTGCTAAGGAGTCTGTCTCTTGAATCAGAATGGAGTGAAAAAGAAGAATCAGAACAAATGGTAAAAGAAATTAATGGAAATGAACTCTTAATGAATTTGAAAGATCTTATTCATTGAACTCTAACGACCTGCTTTGAAGAAGACAGAACAATTGAGGTCTGGGTAACCTTTACACGGAGACAATGCTAAATATACAAGCAAATTGTGTATACTTACTTTTATAAAGAATGTATGACCCAGATTTTATATTCCAGTGCCTAATAAAGTTAAGATTTTATTTAGACAAGAAAAGTGTAGTATGAAAATATTCAGAAATATTGCTAGATGTTATACAAGGAGACCATGTGCAATTCAAACAGCTCTGATTTTGGATATTTTGCTCTTGTTGGAGTAATGTTCCTGATATTTATGTATTGACATCTACACATATGGCAGTTGTTTGAAGTTTATTGAGACAGCTGCCCAGCACTTTTTATCACCTCCAGCTAGAAGCCTGACAATAACAAATAATTTATTTTTAATAACTATAATTTATGATCAATATGTCACCTGAATCTCCAAAAAATTGAAATAGGGATCCATATTTTTATTACCATTATTTTTCAATGTTGAGTTTGGAGATTGTTATGATTTTGGAAGCCTTTAAAAAATTCAAAGTCCCAAGGCCCCTGTTAATCACCCCTATTTCCAGATGTGACAGATGCATCCTGTAAAGACTAGCATACTTAAGGAGCTAAGCCAAAAGTGTCATGATGGCCATCTGCTATTTGCTATTGCAGCAATACAAATGAAGTTTCTGAGAATTTAGGAAAAAAATAAAACAAAATAAATATACAAATTTCTTTAAATAAACTCTCCTTGTCGATGAATGGTACCCCACTCTCTCTCCCTCTCCCTCTCCCCCTCTCCCTCTGCCCCCCCCAATCCTCAATAGGGTTTCCATCATTACAGCAGCAGAGAATTGTACATTCAGTCTGCCACTGTTAAATCCATTACTTGAAAGTTCAATATAATAGGCAAAGCTGAAATGATTATTAAAATTTTAAAGACAAACAAAGCTTGTATCTAGAAATGGTTAATTAAAATTTCTCTGCTTTTGTTTTAATCTAAAATAAAAAGCTTCTGTCCACACTTTTTAAAGCTAATGGCAAATCCCAAGCATAACTGCAAATTAAAGCTAATGCTAAAATTATATGAAACCTCAATTTTATTAATTTGAAAAAAACACAAAACATAAAAACAATATTTTAAAGCAATTGTTCTCCTTGCTTCAAAAGTTCCATTTGAATTATGGTAACTTTATATTCTTTTTCAATCTCAAAAACTTGAAAAAGGATTTGCAGGAAAGATTTATAAATTCATTGTTCATTTTTTATATTGTTTTACTTGATTGTTTGTCTGGTCCTATACCCTGCTTACCTGTTGCTGCTAAAAAGAATGTGTTCTGATCTTTTTTAAAAAAGCTTTTTAATTGTCCCTTTTTAAACTTGAGTTGTTAATATGTTTTCCTCTTCTAATGAGGAAGGGTATCTAGGAAGGGTAGTATGTTGTTGTTTTGTTCTTTCCTTGTGAATGTTATTCCTTTGAAAATGATGTTGATACTTTCACATGTCTTCTCTAGTTGTTTCTTTTTCATTATGATGAAGGTGTTGTCAACATACTGGATTCATACTTTTAATTATATGAATGAGAATTCTACAGTTTCTAGACACGGTCTCTGCTATAAATCCTGAAAGTGATCCTATGGGTGTTTATCTGATTTGACCGTAAAACAGAAAGTAGGTAGTGATGTAGAGGTAGATGAGGTCTATGATTCCATGTATCTGGCACAGTGGTTAGAATGCAGTGGCTCAAGGTTGACTCAGCCTTTCATCCTTCCGAGGTCAGTAAAATGAGGATCCAGATTGTTGGGGGCAATATGCTGACTCTGTAAACCACTTAGAGAGGGCTGTAAAGCACTGTGAAGTGATATATATCGTAAGTCAAAGTGCTATTGCTAATTCAATTTAATGTATTTGACTCGCTTGGGTATGTTGTATAGTGCTGCTGCTATGGATTCTTTCACTCACCACCTCTGGTTATCTATCTATTATCTATCATCTTCATTTTAAAAATCCATTTCTCCAACTTACAATTTTATTTGGAACTGTCCTGGCACACTAAAACTTTAAAAATTAAAAGTTATATAATTAAAGTCGCCTTCAAGTTGAACTTGAAATCCTGGTAACCCAATGGAGCTATCTATATAATTTTTTCAGCAATAATACAAAATTTTTGTGTTATTTTTTTCTGAGATTCTTTTCAAACTCACAATCTGTCATGCAGTCTTGGTTTACCTAGTGACACCACCACCACCCAAATACTAAAGTCTAGCTTGCTTAGCCTTTGAGCAGGAAAGGATAATCAAATATCAAGTGCATAATGCCATCTGGATGTGTTATTATTTTATTATATACACTAATCTAATATTTAAACTATAGCCTGCTGGTTAGTCAGGGCTGAAACTGCAATTTAATTGGATAGCTGCTCAGATACCGTTATTTTATAGTTCTTTAGTTCACAACTATAAAAATTAAGGAGATTTCTTGCACAAATTCTCCTTTAATTAAACTGATCATTTTAAGAAAGAAAACAATGTTGATCAATGAAATTGAACAGGAGAACACAGTTTTGCATATGATCACATATTGCATATGTGCCATACATACTCTGAAGAGTTAAAGTTCAGCTAGTTTTAGGACAGCTTTGAACAGTTGGTGAGGGGGCTTTAAATCAAAAATAGTTTTCAAGTTTATTTATGGCACCTTCCATTCTGCCAGAAAGTCTCATTTTGGCACATGTTATCTCTAATGCTTGCTGACACCTGCACATACACTCTCTGCAGCAGGGCTGATGAATCTGTTTACACAGCTCAGCAGCACTCCTTTAATAAGCAATTCAAGCTAGCTGACTTTGGTAGACTAGAAATACCCTGATGACTTTTGCAGAAAGCAACTTCATATTGACGATGAAAAAGCAAATGGTTTTCTTTTCAACTGACGCTTAGGCAAGAAATATATTCCCACAATGCTATCGTTTACCAAATCTATGAGATCAGTGGATATGGGTTTGCTCAAAGGAGTATTGTCAATGAAGAACAACTTTGTGTCTTGCATTTAAATTGTCAGGACAAGATTCTATTCTCTCTCTCCCTGTCCTCTCCCTCTCTTGTCTGTCAGGCCTTAGCACACTTCCTGAAGGCCAGATAAGAGGGGGTCTGCCTTGCCACTGGAGCAAGTTCCATGAATTAATTTCAACATAAGATCCCCCCACTTTTCCCACATGAAGCCATATCACTTGGGATCCTCCTTTCTAAAGATAACATTGTCCTGCCAGGAAACTTATCACTAAAGGTGATTATCAGCATCTCACTCTTACTACACTGCAGAAAAAAGCCTTTTTGAATAATGAAGCAATAATGACTTAGTTTCCTATAATAAAATATAGATTCTTCAGGTGGATAAGCAAACACATTGAAGGACAGGGGAGAAGTCAGTCAAAGAATCTACAAAGAAGACAAATTTGAGGGAGCCATGTATATCTCAAAAAGGAATCTACTTTGATACTGGCATTTTGTGTACCCTTTACTTTAGTAGTGTTGTTTCCACGGTTTATAGACCAATATTTCTTACATGCGCCCCACATGAGTATTGCAAATAAAATGCTGTTTCTGCTGTCTCTAAAAACTCCTGGGTCCTGTAGGGATTTACCGAGCTCTTTCCTTTTCTCAGTTAGGTCATCAGACTATACAGGCCAGGGAGTGGTTATTCAGCAAATACAATTGTGACTGACAACTCTGTTCTAAGTGCCACAGTTGCTAAGGAAAACATCATGTGACTGTGACAGGCTTATAACCTCACTTCTGCTTTAATCGTTAAGCAAATAATTGTGATCAGTAAGTCAAACATCATATGACCATAATTTACAGTTTTAATTCCACCTATTGTCTATAAGAGCCAAGGTGGCACAGTGGTTAGGGTGCAATACTGCAGCTCCTCAGCTGACTGCTAGTTCAGCAGATCAGCGGATCAAATCTCACCAGGTCAAGGTTGACTCAGCTTTCCATCCTTCCGAGGTGGGTAAAATGAGGACCCAGATTGTTGGGGGCAATATGCTATTTAGTATACTGTCTTTGGTGTAAGCCGCCCAGAGTCCTTGGAGAGTGGGCGGCATAGAAATATGAATAATAAAAATAAATAAAAATAAATTAACTCTGCTTTTCACAAGCCAGTTGTGAAGGACGCAAATGGTGATCATGTGGCTGTGGAACTCTGCAATGATTGTAAATGTGAGCACTGGTCACAAAGTGTTTTTTTTTCCTTGGAACGAATCCAGGAAAAATACTGAAATCATTATTTTTAAGTACTCCTTAGATTTTTAAGTACTCCTTAGATTTAAACTCAATCTTGGTGACATGATGGACATATATCTGGTGAACATATGGAAAAGATTTCTGACTAACCTACTTCCCTAATATTTTCTGACATTCCTCAATCAAATACTAATGCTAACCTACCTTAGTTTTTGTAATGTCAGCCAAGAAGCTGTGATTATAAAAGGAATTCTAAGAGAAAAGATCCAAATAAAGTCTAAGCCAAACAGAATGCTTTTGCTTATTCAGACCAGTGTCTGACCAGATTTTCATA